GTAGAGGCCTAGGTCAGTCCCATGTAGGCTTCCTGGTTGATGGTTCGGTTTCTATGGGCCCCTATGAGCCCAGGTTAGTTGATTGTGTGAGCCTTCCCAGGGTGTCCTTGACCCCTCTGGCTCCTACAATCCTTTCTTCTTCTCCTCCTCCTCCTCCTCCTCCTCCTCCATAGGATCCCAAACTCTACCCAATGTTTGGTTATGGGTCTTTGCCTTCATCAGTTGCTGGATGACGCCTTTCTAATGACAATTGGGCCATTGTCATTAGATTTTTAAAAGCCAGATTTATGGAAAGTATGAATGTGTAATAAAGATGGAATTTTATTTTGTATAACAAAAATAATGTGAATCAGACCAGGCGGTGGTGGCGCATGCCTTTAATCCCAGCACTCGAGAGGCAGAGGCAGGCAGATTTCTGAGTTTAAGGCCAGCCTGGTTTACAAGAGCTAGTTCCAGGACAGCCAGGACTGTTACACAGAGAAACCCTGTCTCAAAAAGCTAAAGAGAAAAAAAATTGATGTGAATCAACAGAGGTCTCCATCTTTGCACCACAATTCCCAGTGTTCTTGGGGTTTGTGTGTCAAGACAATGTAGAGCCAGAGTCCAGGGGCATTCTACCCGATGGCACCCCTCTGATTCTTACCCTTTCAGAAAGTCTGACTCTGAGTATAGGAGCAATGACAGCTGGCTGTGGGCTCCTTGAACCTCTTGCTGGCCATGATCTGCACCCAGCACACGGCAGCCCCTTCCCCTCATATGGTAAGTTGTCCCCACTGGAAAGGACTCTGGCACCTATAGGTATGCAGATTGGGGTAACGCCAGCAGTTGCTCATGGAGCTTCAAGCAAGAAGGCACAACACTTGGGCCTTACTTGTTCCTGGTGAGTAAAGAGAGTGGTCACATACTAGGCACAGTTTGGCAAGAATTTCTTGACTTTACAAAGTACGTGTGTTATCTATCCCCAGGGTGAGGAAGCCAAGAAAACGGTACAGCCTTTTTTCTGGTAAGCCAGTCTCTCCCAGTGAGCTGGCTTCCATATCCTAAAGTTCTCCTGTGATTGCTAATGAGAAACTCATTACAGGCTCCCATTTGAGCTGTTCTCACTGTAAACGTTTGAGACCAGCAATCATGAAACATTTACTAAGCAGCTGCTGCGTACCAATTCCTTTGTCAGCTGGGGGACAGAACCACACAGCAACTTGACAAAACTTGCCTCACTTCTGGGAGGAAGGCCCATGGGGTGGCAGTGAAAGGCACAACAGAGGAAGAAGGTGGCTGTCCCGGGCTGGGATAGGCTTCAATGCCTCACAGGTCCAGTGTGTGCCTGGGTCCTGGCTTTTTGAATACATAGGTGGCAGCTTCATTATCTCTTCACTGAACACTTGCATGGGAGGAAATCCAGGTCTTAGGAATGACAAGTGACCAGAACAGGTATGTGGGACTGGCTACTCTTGGACACTTCGTGACTATGAGCTCCTCTTAGTAACCTGCCTGAGTGTCTTGTTCATTACACAGCTGGTCAAATGACCTCTGGATGCTTCTGAATACAAAAGTATGGCCTCTTCGCACCATATCTAGTGTGGAGAGAATCTCCAAGAGGCAAGTGGAAGACAATCTCCAAGAGGCAAGTGAAAGAGGGCCAGATCTCTAACATTCCATCTGGGAGGGCTCACAGTGGTGGACCTGACAAAAATCCCCTAGGTCCTCTCACCACCCATTCTGAGACACCATTGACCTGCTTTGGGAAGTATAGGCCACCCTTCCAAACAGTCCAGGAAATGGGAGGGAGGAGTGTGCATCCACCTCTATCAGCTGCCCTGAACCTCTGTCCACTCCTTGTAGGCCTCTGCTCCTCAGAGGCTGCTTGAAGGAGACTTGCTCTGTCATCCACTCTGCGTCTCCTGCTTTCTTATCTTTCCTTCTTAGCCTTTAACCTGAATGAATGGTTGTGACATTGTACAAATGGATCTGTCTCTGAGTCCCAAGAGTGTGGCTGACATGCCTGGAGAAGACCTGTGGCCGACTCAGGGCCTATGGCAAGGACTCTGAGCATGGTGTGTGGGCTGACATTCTGCTGTCTTCAAGTACGTTGTCTGTGCTGATTTTAGCATTGACTGCCCTGACCCCTGTGCTAGCCATACTTGAACAGACTTTCAAGACAGATGCTCCACTCTTGGCTTCTTTTATCTTTCCCAATGGGCTTTTGAGGCCCCTGCCCCAGGCTTCAACCTCCAGTAATGGTCCCTGGGTGCTCACATTTCCTTGTTTCTTGGTGTGCTTAGGCAAGAAGCCAGGGCAAGTGGTCTATCACCAAGTTACACCTCAGCCCTGTACCATCTCAGTTCTTTGAGTTCCCCTGACCTACAAAAAGGTGTTCTCTCAGCTCTCAGAAGGCAGAACCCTCCCTTTGGACTAGCAGTGGTGGATGATGGGGTTTTTCAAAGCCTAAGGAGGGCCCTGTCTGCCCACGTCTACTTCAGGTTGCTCCACTCCCCTTCTCAGGGCCTCTGCAGAGCATAGAGTGGGACAGATAGTTGATAAAACTCCCCGGGGATTAGGACAGGCACCCCTCCTTGTGAAAGTGCTCCACACAGTGCATAGCACCTAGAAACCTGATACTTGCTTTCTCGCTGATTATCATCTTCTCTTTCTCCCTGTGACTCAGTTTCTACTTTGTAGATGAAGTTGGTTGTACCAGAGAACCTGATTGTGACTGCTCTTTTAGAATTCCCCATGCGCTGTGTGCCTGTCACATAGCCCAGGACTCTTGCCGGCCTTACTTGGGGTTAATGGTGTGCTGCCTTCTGGGCCTATCAGCTCAGTGCTTGTCACTTGGCCCGTGGGACACTGAGGATAAGGCCTTGTTTCTAGGCATCATAAAAGTAAAGACATTGTTGTACTCTGGGTCTTTTGGATTTTATTTTTTTACTTCTTGTTACGAAGGCTTTTGTAAACAAAATGGTGGAGATTAAAGAATTTCAGCCTTCCATCTCCTTTATTTTAGGTTTAAAGGGTCAGCAATGACAGACTGAGATAAGATATTCTAGAGCCTGAAGATTCCAGGATCTTGTGGTACAGAGCATATCTTAGAGCATAGTGATAAGTGGCTGAGTCTCAGTTAGCCCATGAACCCAATGGAATGAGGAGGAGGGCAACCAGGTCCTGGGAATCGCTTGGCCCCTTTCTTCCTGACTATGGTGCTCTGAGTTGTGTTTCTCAAAGGATCTGTCCATGTTCTCACACTGAAATCTGTAAGGATAGCCTTATTTAGAAAGAGCTTTTCGCATTTGTAATCAAACTCAGTGAAGCCACTATAGTGAATTCTGATCCATTCGTAAGTAAGCTAAGTGAGGCCACTATAGTGAGTTCTGATCTATTTGTAAGTACGCTAAGTGAGACCACTATAGTAAGTTCCACAAACTACTACCCTTGGAAGAGAAGAGACAGGGGCAGATATGTACACGACAGAGCTGTATGACGACAGAAGGAAGGGTCTACCAGTCAAATAATACCTAGATGGGTAGCACCAGAAAATAAAAGAAAGGTCTGGAACACATTCTCAGGATCTTCGGAGGGATGTTGGCCTTGCTATTGTCTTGATTTTGGACTTTGGGCATCTAGAACTGTGAGAGACTACATTTCTCTTGTTTTTTTTTTCCTTGACCAGTGTGGGGAAGTCTGCCAAAACAGCTTCAAGACACACAGACCTTTCCCTAATTCCCCAGGCTCCACTGCTGTGATGTGTTGTTGCTCCCAGACATTTGACTGAGGAGCTTTATGGGCAGCATCATGTCTTATCTCTTCATGTGGAGCCAGTAGTGTTGATAGAGAATATGTCTTGTCTAGACTTTCTTAGTCTTCTTACTCAAGCTGTGCTGCTTGCCTTTTGCTATGGAAGCAGAGGCTTAAGGGATCTTTGGAAACAGGCTACTTCTTGTTGGCGCTTGCCCTGGAAAACTGTCCTCTGGTGCTAACAAATCTAAAAGGACACTGTGTGCACCAGATAAATAGAAATACCATGAGGTAGGCCCGAGAGATGGTTCAGTGGTTGAGAGAACTTGTTGCTCCTCCAGAGAACCAGACTGAAGTTCCCAACTGCCTGTTAACTCCAGCTCCAGGGGATCTGCTGACTTCTTCTGGCCCCCACAGACATTGCACACACATGCACATACACATATCTATCCACATCAATAGAAAAAAACCTTGAAGAAAATAAAAGAAATATCATGAAGATAAGCTGAGGACAATGTGCAGAGTGCTGTGGAAGGGACTCATAGTGTTGTGACCATGGTGTTCATTTGCAAGGCCTAACCACAGAACTGGGGGCTCTTATGGGCTCAAAGGGAGTGCCACAGAGCATGGATGTCTACACAAAGGCATTCAGAGGGATCTGGAGACGGTAGGAGAGAGGCACTAAGAGTTAGTAAATATGAAATGGGCTTTGCTTTTGAGGCTTTAGGACAAACAAGAAGTCAATGATGAGAACACAGGTACGCTAGTGATGAGGATGTAAAGTGCGCAGATGCTGGATAAAAAGTCTGATGGGACCTTCAAAAGTTAAAGTTGGGCTGATGAACTGGCTCAGTTGGTAAAGATCTTGCCTTGCAAGAATGGGGACCTGAGTTTGTTCTCCATAATCCTTGTTTTAAAAAAATCTAGGTGCTTATAATCCCAGTAGTAAGAAAGTAGAGACAGGAGGGTCCCTGGGGTTTGTTGGCCAGCCAGACTAGCCTAATTGGTGAGTTCTAGACCAACGAGAGATCCCGTCACAGAAAACAGGATGAGCAGTACCTGAGGAATGACACTGGAGATTCTCCTTTGGTCTCCACCTTACACAAATACATGCATGTACGCACATTTGTGGCCACTCACACCCTTACACACATGCACACACTTGTGCACATGTATACACACACTAAAAACAATTACCATGAGATCCCACAATCTTGTGGCTGGGTATATATTACTTCCCAAAGGAAACCAGGATCTCAAAGAGCAATTTGTGCACGCAGGTTCACAGTAGTATTATTCACAATACCTAAAAGATGGGAGTAGTCCAAGCATTGCTGACAGACAAAGGAAGAGGGGACTGGGGAGGAGGAGTGGAAAGTTGGAGGGAAATGGCATGGAGTTAACGTTTGGAAAGGTAAAAAAGTTCTGAATTCTCCCATTGACCCATCCAAGGACACTGACCTGGATAGTCACAGCAGGCTTTACCTGGTGAAATCAGTCAGTGGGAGGCGCCACAGGTGGGGCACCTTTTGCCCACGGAGCCAGTGTTCCTTCTTGCCATAGAAGTCAGCAGGGCAGCAGTCCACAAGAGAGGCCACGCCTGTGGCTTCTCCCACCTTGGTTCAGTGACATACAGGTACCTTTTGTTTGGTTCCACATGGGAAGTTGACAAATAATAAATCACACATGTGACCCAGACCAAGATTGTAGGAGCCTTTCATTTTCTTTTATACACAGAAATTTTGGTCTATTCTTTAAATTAAGAAATTCAACTACAGACTTTATTATACATCTGTGGTCTTTCTCATTAAGATATTTTGTTCATTTTTATAACAGGCAGATAAAAATGTAAAACATATTTATGAACTGAACACAGTTGACTAAGCCATTCCATATAGTATAATGCTTTATAAAGAGAAGCTTCCAGTGAGACAGGTCTCTTCGGCCTGAAGACTGTACAAGACCCAGAACGAATGAACCCCACAGCTCAGCACAAAGGCAGCCTGGGTATCACACAGTCGACACTGACATCAGGCAACTTTAGACAGCAGCATTGAGGGTTGGTTTTTAAATATATAGTGGCCATTTGCTCTATCTGTGTGTCTATAACAGAGGATGGCAAGAAGCTCATGAGCATAGCTGGGCACAGCTGACCCACTTCAACCGCAATACTCCACATTTCGATTTCTTGTTGAAGAACACAAAGACCCTCAGCAAGCCAAGTTGCCTTTTTGTTGTGGTGGTTTAAACGAGGACATCAGGGAACAATTTACAAATGGGAAACATTCTCAATATGCCCTTTATAAAAAAGGGATGGCTTTAAGTGATCTGTAGCTGGCATTTTAAAGTGGAGTTTCTCTTGTAACTGAAATTCTTTTGCCCGAGATGTGGCTACTCCTGCTCAGGGGATGACATGGCATTGGTGTGACCAGTGAGGACAAAGCACATTTTCATTTGACTTTGTGTGGATGCCCAGGAGCTGAGACAAGCTTTCTGTGGGGTGGCGTGGGATGGGAGTGGAGCAAATGCAGCTCCTGAGGGTGCCTGTCCTTACCCCTCCATCTCTAAGCTTACATCTGTCTCCTGGCACAAAACCTCAGGCCCAAGTGACAGGCTTGTGTGGGAGTGGAGTGAGATTCTAGACATCTTCCTGAGAAGTTCAGGAAGCCATGAGTTCACAAGGTGAAGGACCCTCAAGGGCAGGATGTCATTGTGGGTGTCCGGATTCAGGGCCGAAGAGCACAAGGGAGGGGCAGGTTACCACTAGGAAGAGACTCATTAGCGTGGGTTTCCCTGCAGGGCAGCAGGCATTAGACCCCTCTCCTCTGCCTTCTTCCCCCAGGCTGGCGCTCTTTCTAGGAAAGCAGGCTTGGCACAGTGGGGGACTACAGTGATGGGGCAGGCTCCTGGAGCCCAGACCTTGCTTTAGCCTTGCCTGCCTAGGTGGGACCAAGCCCTGCGAACCCTGTGCTCAGCCCCCATAGGCCCAGACAGAAAAAAAAAAAAAAACGGCAACAGTGATGGAGGCCATTTTTCCAAGAGGCCATGTTTCTATAGTGTTGCCCTCTGGGTTGTATTTACCCCATGGGCAAGAAGACCGGGGTTGGAAGCATGCTTTGGTGGGTAGCACGCCCATGCCCTGGCAGAGGTGGTCCCTGCCATTTGCCAAAGCACAAAGTGCAAATCGAGAGGAATGACAGAGATGAACCTGGACTGTCCTCACAGTTGGCATCTTGATTTTGGTGACCCTTCTTTCTCAGGTGGCCTCCGTAGAGGTTAGGCCTGCTGTCTGTCTCTGCTCTATCACCTTACTCCTAGGGTTCTTCATGCTTTCAAAGTTGGACAAAGAAAGCCACCAGCAAAAACGAAGGTGTCGGAAATGAAGTGGAAGGAAGCCAAAACCAAAACTTGATTTGCTTTGTACTGGAGGGGACCACTGTCATCAATACTTTGGTATTTTTCTTTTTAAAAAAATGCCATTGAAAAGTCTTTTTCCTCTACAAGCAGAGGTCTCAAAGTGCAAAGGTTCTAAGTGCAAGGCCTCTAGGTCTTGCACAACGCTCCCCAGACTGCCTCCTCTGGAATCTTGGCAGGGTCAGGCATGGAGATCCTCAGGTCAGGGGCTTGGGGAGGGAAGTCCAGTACCGAGAGGATGTTCTTGCAGTCTCATTCCCTGAAAAGAGCCTTGCTACATCCAAAAAATGAAACTTCAAAAGGAGAAGGCCTGGTGAGAGGAATGGAAATATCATGCCGATAAATAGTTCCTTATTCTTTAAATATGCATTTGCCATATATATGTATATGCATACAGACACACATACATATAGACACACACACATGCGGTCTGCAGATGGGTCTAGTGTGCTTTGCAGTAGAAGGTACCTTTGCAGGTGGCTCCCTCCGGTGGCCTGTCTGCACAATGACCTCCTTGGTTTTGGTATACTTTTTTTTTTTTTTTTTAATATGGGTGCAGCAAAGCTTCAAACAAGCTCAGCTAGCCCCTACCACGCTGCACAGCTCAAATGCTGAAAACATGGCGGAACTAGTGTTTGTTAAAAAAGAAGCATCAGTAGAAAAAAAGGTGGAAAGCGCATTTTGTCTCATGCTCTCCTTTTTTTCCTTCACGTTGGGTGAAGAACTTCCTCTTCTCCTTTTTCCTTCTTCCTCCACCTCCTGGAAGTCTGGTGAGAAGCCTAGTGGGTTGTGCCCTTATTGAATGCAATTGGCTTCTTGCAAATACCACATAAGAAAAGTCTTTAGCCTCTTTAGCATGTTTTCTCTTTTTGGCAGGTGCACGACTCCCCTCTCTGTGTGTACATGCACATGTGTGTCCATGTGTGACTGCGTGTATGTATGTATGTGTGTGCATGTGTGTGTATACATGTGTGATAACAGAAGTTCTGGTTAGAGGGACGTCTCCATGCTGTGGAGTGGGCTCCCGGGCCTGGAAGAGAATGCTGAAGAGGTAGCTGACTTGGTGGCATGCATGGTCAGGTAGATGCCGCTGTCTATGGCGTTGTTGTTCTGGTTAGGGGGTGTGGGAGGCGGGGCCCTCAGGTGCTCTTCGTTCTCATCCACATCTGTGTCATCGATGAGCGGGATGTTGTGGGTGTAGTCATTGATCAGAAACTCGGGCGTTGCCATGAAGTTATGGATGCAGCTCTTGGATTCCGGTTTCTCAAGGCCTTCATAAAGTGAGCTACGGAATGCTTTCACCACCCGGATCTGAAGTCAAGGGGGAGGGGCAGAACCCACATGGGAGATGGAAAGGGTGAGGAAGGGCAGAGAAAGGAGAGGAGAGGGGAAGGAGAAGGGAGGGAGAGGAAAGGACAGGAGACAGTCAATGGGTAGCTGATGCTGGAAAGTTGTGCCCACATCAGAGGCTGGCACATTGCATGATGAATGTTCACACACTGGGGAACTTGTAGGGAATGGAGTTGCTTTGCTAGACTGTGGCAAGGGTTTACAGATCTGGGCCTTGGTGTTGAAAACATTCTGACATAGGTAGATATCTGGAACAATAGGCTGATGCATGCTACCTTCCTGGTCCTTGCCCTGAGAACAGGAATGGTTTAGGTGGCACCTGAGGTCTTTGCTCAATTTGAACTCCAATTTGGTAGAAGACAAATATACTGAGATTCTCCAAAGAGTGTGCCAGTGGCCACTTCTGCACATTCATCTTAGTCCTTCCTAAGGGGCACACCATACACTTGAACTACCATTTTTGAAAACTTTTCAAGTCTCCCTGACATTGTTTCTGCCTGGCCCTCTTTCATTTGAGCAGCTGTGCTTCCTCTGCTTCTCCTTTGTCCCAAAGCTCTGGACTGTCCCAGTTACGCTTCCTCCCTGTTCATATCTCTGTACAGTGCTGGAAGCTATCTAGGGATATGGTAGAGCTCTGGGCCCTAGAGTCCACTGGCCCTTACCTGGAGGCCAAGACTACAAATGGCCACACTTGAATTTGCACGTACCAAGCCTGTTCCTATGCAGCTGTCTTGGTCTATCAGTTATCCTCTTGGTCCTAGTTACATGTGTCTCATCGGGTCTCATTAGATACTTGGTGCTTTCAGCAGCCTTTTGCGATCTACCTTTCTGGCCCTTCTTCCCCCAAACCACCTCTCTCCTTTTTCTCCTCACTGAGCTTCTGTTCAGACAGCCCTGTGCCTTGCCAATGCTCCTCGTCCACCCCACTGCTGTTTTCAGTTCACATCAGCATTACACTCTGCAAGGAAGTGCTTCCCACAATACTTGGCCTCCCCACCACTGTGGCCATGTGCTCAGAGCCAAGCTTGCATCCCCTCCAGTCTCCTGCATCTCTTGTAGGACAAGGCTTTAGAACTTGCCTGAGAATCAGCCTCTCCCTTCTCTGGCTTTTCCATGGCCACTCACACACTGACTCCAGTCTCATCCTTTCAAGCCACAGAACAGCTGCCTCTCTGATGTTTCCCTGGCCCCAGATGCTGGGCTCCTTCCTGCTTCTAGAACCAGAGGCCAATGAATAGCCCTCTGCTAGACCTCACACAAGCCAGTGCCAGCACTGCCGCCCACATCAGCTGGTCCCACTGCAACGACAAAGCCAGCCCTGCTGGCCTCCAGGTAGTGTAGAGGCCAGTGGAAGGACTGTGGGTTCCCCAGGAGGAGAACTGTGCTCCCCAGCTTCAGTCATTCTCTCCCTGTGTGAGACATTCTACGGCATTCCAAGGAGCTAGGATTTGGTTTCCATGGTTTAGGTAACGTATCTGTAAACTCTGGCCAAAAGGTAAACGAACCCTGGACCTCTTCTGGTTTTGTAAATAAAGTTTATTGGCGAGCTGCCATGCCCATTCATCTGCATCCCGTCTGTGGCTGCTTTCACACTACAAGGGCAGGGTTGTGCAGTTGTAACAGAGACCTGGCCTGAAAAGCTAAATATGTTTACTTGTTGGTCCTTTATAGGAACAGTTGACAATGAATCATCTGGGCTACAATGAGTCCCTTTCAGGCCTCCAGTCAGGACTGTAGGCCTGAAAATTCAACCAGGTCAAGCGCAGTGCTACTAAATCACTTTAAATGAGGCAAACCTCACAGTTTATGGAATGCAAAGAAGTGAGCCAAAGGCTCTAGAGAACTGGGGTTTTCTAAATGCACATTTGAGGTCCAGTTAGGATTTTTTTCTGTCAGACTGTGGATGGATAGCCGTACCTCAGGCCACTATTTTCAGACTGGTTGCTTATATAGGGTTAACATAGAAATGGAAAACCATCACCAATTTTAATGAGGAAAAAATAATTCACCTTTTGTATCTAATGCCAGTGTTGCTTCATTAATTAGCTTTTCTAGGGCAAGACTGGAATGTTGGTGTGGGGGACGTCACCTAACTCTAGCTGTCAGCCATACCATTATGCCACAAAAGAGAGAATGAGCTTCACATTGTTGCCCTTGACTCTGTTAAGTCTTCCAGCAATGCCCAGGTGACTGGCCATAACATTCTCCTCAACTGGACTTCACATGACCAGGCCTATTCATGGGTCTCAACTGTACCTGGCTCAGCTCCAAAGTCTTTCCCTGAAGAGAGAAGCCCTGGCCACAAGGCAACCCTCGTATGCTGTCCTTGCCTCTTGCAGCTACTGCTGCTCTGCCTTCCTCCTGCTGCCAGATCCAGGCACAGAGTGCCCAATGTACCAACACCTGGGGATCACATGCATACAGAGGGCCACCCACTCCACTGTTTTGAGTCATCTTGAGGGCAACATTTGAGAGTGAGTCAGCTTTTTCTCCAGCTCCTTTCTTCCCTGCATTGAAATCTAGGGCTAGAACAAACTGGTTTGCTGTTGATCTTATGACTGGGAGTATTCTCAGCTAAAGGCTGCAGGGCACAGGTACCTCCTGGGAGAGTAGTCCAGGCAAAGCAGCAACTGCCCGGAAGAGTGGCCTGTTCTGGAAGGCACGGCTTGTGCCAGGTGCCTGAAGGTATCTCCAAGACCTTGGGATTTCTTCTTTCAGACACAGAGTTTGGTGTCTCTGGCTAACCTGCAGCCAAGGCTGGGTTGAGCCCATGATATGCCCCAGCTCACAGACTGCCCTGGCCTCTCTTCAGCCTCATGCCTGGGTTTCTCAGGGCGCTACTCCCAAAGATCCTCTACCTCTACTCTTTCCCGGGACCTTCAACACCCTCAAGGCACATCAGACCACCTAGATGCCATCAATGCTTTGAGTACCACATCTAGCCAGGCCCCGTTTCCTAGCCCACTCCCACTGCTCCCAGGTGTCGCTGTTCTCTAACACTGGAACTCTCAGTCTCCCATCCTCGCCAGCTCCTGGCCCATCTTCTCTAAACACTTCACTGTCAGCTTGTCCAATAGGACCAACCCCAAAACATCTCACCAGAGTTCTCCTCCTCCTCCACTACAGCCTCCATGTGCTGCCTGAAGATTGATGACCTTGTTTGTCTAGGGCCTCCATCCTGCCTCTGTGGCGGACACACATCTTCTGGCTAAGGGTCTGATGACCCTATGGTGGCCTGCAATGTCCCATGTCCAGATGATACTTCCAGGCTTTCTGGGCACTGAGTCAGACCCTGTCATTTCCCTACCCGACTTCAAGTATTCTTGTAAGTGATGGAACTGGCCTGGGTGCTGACTGGGGGTGGAAATCATTGAACTTTAATTTACAATCCATTTACCTGTAGGATAAGGCATTATTTGTTTGTTTGAGACAGGGTTTCACCATACAGACCAGGCTGGTTTCAAACTCCGGATCTCCTGTTCAGCACTGCTCAGTGCTGCAATGACAGGCATGTACCACTAGATCCAGCTCTACAAGATAATTTTACATAAAAGATGTCTCTAGGAAAGATAAAGCCTAGACTATGACTGAGGCTTCTGGGAGAAACAAGGGAATCAAGTTGGTCTGGCAGGGGAGTCTCCAATTTCTTCTCAGCACCTGGTTGAGGTGCTGTCCTCACTAGCCTATTGACCATGATTTACTTGTTCCCACCCCACTTCCACAGTCCCATTCAGCTGCTGCCCCACTTGTGAAACCCATCCCAAGAAGACTTTTGATACTTTTTTTTGTAATGCCATCCCTAACCAAGTGAAGTACTTGGTGCTCCTTCCACCTCCCCTGAACTCCTTCTTAGCCACTTTTCCCTAGACCCTTCCCTAATATTCAGGAGCTGCTTCCTTCAGCCCGGGTGCTCCTACCTACCAACAGCTTCTGTTTGCTCTCTCAGCTCCAAATGCGGCTGTCTGAGTCCTATCTCATTCCCTTACATGTTCTTAGCCCTTGACAATCCCACCACTCCCTCCCTTCAAGTGACATCCAGAATCTCCCACTTCACACACACATCACCACCAGTGCCACAACACCAGGTTCAAGCTGGATGCTGTAGGAACTTTTATGTAGTCTCCTTGCTACCCTTATGTTACCTCACAGTCTCTCCTTCACATGGCAGCTAGTCAATGGTTTCCAATGCAAGGGAATTACTAGCTGCATCTCCCAAAGAAGAAGACCTGTAACCCCAACCAAGGGCCTGCCTTGGGCTCTCTCATTTCATCTCTAGCTCCTGACAGGTTCCTCTCACAGGGTATTGTCTGTGTGATCTACCACAAAGATTCTTCCTCAGTGAGCCTCAGGGCTCCCTCCCCACCTTTTCAGTAAGCTCTGCCCTGTTCCCCCAGCACCCAATCAGTAACAATAGCTATTTTCTCGTCTGTTTTCTCTATAGTGGAAGCTAACTACTCCTCCTAAGAGTGGTTAGCTACTTTTTCTGTAGCGTTCAATGGTGGCCGCACTATCCCATGAACTGCTCCTGCTAAGCATATAGTTAGAGGGTATGGAATATCTGGTCCATCCTTGCCTCTGTCTCCTATGGTATAGCATCACCCCTCCAAAGCTCTCTACCCACTTGACCGTAGCCAGCTAGCTGAAGCTATCTAGAACACCTAAGGTTCCCAACCCCAACACCTGCCAACTCCCAAACTCTAGATCCAACATAGTTTCTCCCAGACCCACTACAACTGCCGTTTCTCTCTCCATACCAAATTCAGTGTCTATCCTGGGTAACCTAGAACCTAGCAGAGCACCCCTAATGCTCTGAGTGGTCTGCTCACTTCTCCTAGTAGGCCCATGGCTATCTACATTCATTCCCTTTGCTGATCACTCCAATTGCTGCCCAGAGGAGACTCACAGTGTCTCCTCTCTATGTGGCCCAGACAGCAGGGCATGCAGAGTAAAGGCTGATAACT